TTTCCTGGTCTCTCCTGCCCTGCTTGCTTACCCAGGTTGATATATATAGTATATTACAATTCAACAGCAAAAAGAAAAAAGTAAATTAGAAATGGGCAAAAGCCTTGAATAGACACTTCTCTAAAGTGGGCAAATGAATGGCCAACAAGCACATGAAAAGAGATTCATTATCATTGATTATGAGGGATGTTCTGGTTACGTAGTGTTGCTCTGACAGGAATATACCACAAATGGGATAGTTTGAACAAACAGGAGTTACACTTTCAGAGGCTTTAAGTCTGAATTCAAAGTGCCAGGCTCTAGGGGCTGGGCAAAAGTCCTTCAACCTTGGGCTTCAGCTCTGCCTCCTGCTCCTGGCCCACTGAAGCTGGTAGCTTTTCTTTACTCAGACAGCTGCTGGCTGCTGAGGCTGATGAGCACAAGGTCGGCAAGTAACAAGGCACAGTCCCAATGTAACCAAACAACATGGCAGGCCATTAATTAAGTCCAGATGAAGTCCCAAGATCAGCAGGGCAGGGCAGGTTGTTGAACAATGACTTGGCTACATGCAGAATTCAAGCGTGCCAACAGGCTAGAGACCATTCTCAAAGCCATTTCTTATATATGGGAAGCAGACCACATCCCTAAAGCAGCTATTCAGCTGCTCTAATAAATGCCACCATGAAGTTCATTACCAATCTCACTGTGGGGAATAACTATATCCAGCTGCGCAACCACTCAAGCAGGCCCAGCCAAGTTGACAACAACCTTAACTACCACAAAGGAAGTACAAATCAAAACCACAATGACATAGCACTTTACATCCATTCAAACGCAACCACTGCCGTGGAGTCAGATCCAACTCATAGCGACCCCTCCTTGGGTTTCTGGGGTGGTATCACTACGGAAGTAGATTGCTCAACCTTCCTTCTGAGGAGTGGCTCATGAATTTGAACTCCTAGCCTTCTTGTTAGCAGTCAGATATCTTTGGCACTACACCACCAGAGCTCCTTTAGGACGGCTATAATAATAATAACCTGAAACAAGAAGTATTGACAAGGATGTAGAGAAATTTGAAAGGTCGTACATTACTGGTGATATGTAAACTGGTAATAG